CCCAAAGTTACCCCCCCCCCCCCCGTTCGCAAGACCTGGATCACCGTTAATCTTTACACAAACACAGCATCTCATACACGAATCCGAACAATCCCTTGCATGTTCCCGGTGGCGTATGTGTGTGGAATTCGTGCCGAGAGGCAAAGGGGGCTACAGTGCTGCAGTGGGTGGCAGTGATGCCGTGTCGTCGGGGAGCGTGGTGCGCAGACGCTTCTCGTCGCCCTGCACAGGCTCTGCACTCTCGCTCCGATGCCGAGCCGCTTTGGCTTCGGCCCTGACTTTGCCCTGGGCTGTTTCGGCCACCCTCTCCCTGCGCGCCTTTTTCGCATGATCGTCCTGTTGCTCATCGGTCACCAGCGGTGGGCGGAAGTAGGGCTGGGCGAGCCAGTGCGGGATGAATGCCGGACGGTGCTCGTCTGGCTTGCTCGGATCGGGCGGCGTCAAGAACGACACCGACCCAGGCAATGGTGGATCCTGTGGCTTATTCCACTTGTCCTCGACGCGGTCCAGGTCTAGACGTCGTTCGAGCTCGGTGACAAAGGCGCGGTAGGTTGCGATGCGCGCCTCGCCCGTCGCGGTGTGATCGAAGCGCGACTTGCCCAGCGCCTCGCGCAGGTCTCGGTGCACCTCGAGGCCAGGTCGACAGAGACGGAAGAGGTGCGCCTTGATCGCGCTGCTCGACGTCGGCGTGCGCAGCTGCGTGACAATGTCCAGATACTCGTGTGCCATTCGCGCCAGCGAGGGAAACGGCAACTCGGGCGCGTTGGGAAACATCGCACTCGGCGCACGTGGAAGCGAGGGCATGAACACGGCAGGGTTGTACAGGTTTCCCTCGGCACTCATCACCCCATCCGCCGTGGTCTGCTGCAGTGCATCCTGCCAGTCCTGAGGATACAGCACGTTGCCGTTCGCAAAGACCGGCACACGCACCGCCTCTTTAACTGCCTTGATCTTGGCCCAGTCCGCTAGGCCGGTGTGGTGACCCTTCATGCTGCGCGTCCTGCCGTGTACGGTGATGATCTGCGCGCCGGCGCGCTCGAGCATCCGGGCGTACGCGACTGTCTTGTCCACCGTCTCGTACACGCGCATCTTGGCGGTGACCGGAATGCGCAGGTTGAGATGCAGGATGTTGATGAGCGCAAAGATCAGCTGCCAGTCCTCCATTAGGTACGACCCGTAGTGGCCGCGCCGCGCAATGTGCTGTGGACAGCCCAGGTTAAGGTCCACGGCGTCGCATCGGTCCTGCACCACCTCGGCCGCCTTGAGCAGCGTCGCCGGATCGTTGGAGCAGAACTGCACAAACAGCGGCCGATCCGTGTCGCTCGATGCTCCCTCTTCGGAGAGAAGAGACGAGATCGACGAAGCACCTTCTTCACCGAACTCGCGGTTGAAGTTGACCTCCTGGTACTTGACCTTCTTCTTCTTGCTGTTTTCGTCCACGAACAGCTTGGCGTTGATCATGGGCGTGTAGACGAGGTCGGCGCCGTAGCGACGGCTCAGCACACGCCATGCCAGCTCCGACTGGTCCACCATGGGCGCCACCACACGCTGGGGCGAGCCAATGGAGCGGTAGAAGTCCCACGAACCCAGCTTGCTGTGCTTCGGCACGCCGGTCGGCGGGAAGGAATCTAGATCCGGCACCACCACCGGACCCACGTCGGTAGTCGATGGTGCCGGGTTGGCGGGGGTGGACACGGCTTCGGGCATCTTGACAAGGACGGCGCGAGGATGTAGCGATGTGTGTAGTTGCCGTGCGCAGACGGCAGGTGGTGTGCACGATGCAAGCAGGCGCAGCGAGCGCCGAATCGAGACGAGTATGGTGATAGAAAGCGTTCGACTCGCGTCTGTCCGAGCGACGCAACCTTGCCGTGTCGTTCGGGTGAATCAATGAATGCGTCGAGGTGTGGACTGAACGTAGGTTGGTGGGTTGGTGTAGGACCTCACTTGGACTTCTCCGCCACGCTGCCGTCAAAAAAAGTCAAATCTCGGCGTTTCCTCCCGTTCGTTCTCGGCGCTCGCCGAACGGATCGGCCCGGTCATCGTAATCGGGACCCGATCTGCTCGATCTCGATTGCATTGTTCGTCTGCTCTCGTCGCTCCGACTCTCTCAACTTTTGTCCGTCGTTTCCCAGGTGAGCATGATCGATACGGACTGCTCACAGTGCTCATCCAGGCTCTCCTGCGCCGAACAGTACCTCTTGAGCTGCGTTGCCAATGAGATTTTAGGCTGGCAAATGATACACAGATAACAGTGAACGGTAAATCGAGCAGAAAAAAAAGCCAAAAAAATTAAATCAGGAATGGAAACACAGGGGATCGAACCCC